GCTAATTAGTAATTAAATAGACCTAGCTATTATTATTAATAATAATTTTTTTTAATTAGTGATTGAATTGTATTACTTAATATCGATAAATTGTGTTGAAACTATACCCATATATACAGTATATACATGTATATTAATATATATATATATATATAATTTTTGATAAAGATATATATATATATATATATATATATATATATATATTGTAAATATACAAACATACCCACTTATCACACCCACACACCCACTTTAGCTTATAAATGAATTTATCTTTATTTAAAAAAAACATATTTAGTTTAGTTTATTCAATTAAAAAAAAAATAACTACAAATTAAAAAAATACAGTATTTTTTTATATAAATATATCTTATTATACTAGTTTTTGTTATTTATTTTTTTTAATTAAATTTTTATTGTTGTAAACTATAAATTATAATTTTTTTTATTTCAATTTAACATCAACAATAATAATTGTAATAATACTGTGTTTATAAGTAATTGAAAAAAAATCATACAACAAATATTTAATTTGAATTACAATTTTCTAGTTTATAATATAGAATATATTGTATAGTTTTTAGTATAGTTTGTATAACAATACTAATAATAAAATTATACAATTGGTTTTTATTATTTTATGTTTTATTAAACACATAATACAATAGTAGTAGTAGTAGTAGTAGTAGTAGTAGTAGTAGTAGTAGTAGTAGTAGTAGTAACTTATTTTATTAATAGTAATGTTATACACAATAATACTAACAATTACTACAACTACTACTACTACTACTAATAATAATAATAATAATAATAATAGCAAATAAATATTAATAACTTGTGTTAGATAATGATGATGATAATGATTATTAGTATTATTATTATTATTACTATAAGGTATTGTATTTGATTAAATGTCTGAGAAATAATAATTGTATATAAATTATATATTTATATATATATATATATATACCTATAATACTGATTATATTATAATCTTATATAATATAACTGTCCGCTTATGGCGCTTATGTCATTAGCCACTAACCAATTTTTTTTTGGGGGGGGGGTTGAGGGGTATCTAACTGTCCATAATTAGTACATCATTATAATAGGACTATAATTTACTTAATTTTATTTTTTTTTGATTGTCCATTAATAAAATTTTTTATACATTAATTTATATAATATTGTAGATTTTAAAATTTTTAATATTATTTTTTTGTTGGTATTATTAACTAAAAATAATTAAATAACATTATGTTATAATAATATAATATTTTTTTTTGTGTACACTATTACTACACAAATAAATATTATTATTTTTTTAATTTTTAAGATGAAAATTAAATAGTAATTTATGATTAGTTTAATATTAATTTATTTAAATAAATTACTTATAAAAGTATAGACTTTATAAAAAAGTTATAAAAATATTATTAAATAATTTAAACTAATCTTAACTTTTTTGTTTATAGTAGTAATAGTTTTTATACAACAAGATTTAGTAAATAATTTTTACATTAATGTTAAACATTAGGTTAAACAACAAAAATAATAATAATTAGTTTTTTGAATTAAATTTTTAATTAATGAAATTTTTATTATTTTTATTATCTAACATTAAATGTGTCATAAAATTAATTGTTCAATTATAATATTAATTATTATTATCGAAAAATAATAAAAATTTAAATATTGTACAGCCTGTTTAAATATTATAATTTTTAATTTAAATATCAAATCAATAAATATTTTATTAACTAAAATTAGTTGTTAGAAATCCTATTTGGATAGAAATCACATTTATTTTAACTTTATAGCCTAATAAATAAATAAATAAATTTTGCAATAATTAATTATTTATCTTTTATCTAAATAATAAATAAGTCACTGTTGTATGTATGTACAGTATATATAAATTATATATATATATATATTTGTATAAATATCTATGTATAAATATATATGTGTATATTATATATATATATATATRTATATATATGTGTGTGTATATATGTGTGTGTATATGTGTGTGTATATGTGTGTGTATATGTGTGTGTATATGTGTGTGTATATGTGTGTGTATATGTGTGTGTATATGTGTGTGTATATGTGTGTGTATATGTGTGTGTATATGTGTGTGTATATGTGTGTGTATATGTGTGTGTGTATATGTGTGTGTATATGTGTGTGTATATGTGTGTGTATGTGTGTGTGTGTATGACATTTATATTAACTATTGGATTAAAGATAAATATAACCTAGCTTATTTTTTATGATGATAGTTAATTACTTTAGGTAAATCTTATAAACATACACACACAAACACACATACACATACACATACACACACACCTACATAAATACATTAATAATTTTATGTTATTTATTATATTAATGCCACATAATGTTAAAAGAGAAAAAAAAATCATAATTAATAATTAATTTCTCAATTATGTTGAGTTGAAAATCAAGTGTTTAATTATTTAACAATAAAGCGATTTATATTTTTTTAATTATTAGTAAATTACAATAATAATAATAATAATAATTCATATAAAATAAAAAAAACTAATAGTATTTAATATTAAATAAATAATTTATGCTATATTTTCATTTATTTATATTTTATTAATTTATTGATAAAGTTTATTTCTATTGTATATTATGAGAAATAAATAAATATTTATTTATTTTAATGTAAACATGTTTTCTATTTATTTTTATATCTTATTTTATAATAATAATAATTATTATTTTGAAAGTAAAAAATGCGATACTATTATATAAGATATTAATTTTTGCTAAAAATAAAATCATTGCCATTAGCTATATATATATATTTATATTTTTAAAAATAAATCTATTATTTTTTAAATATATAATACTTTATATAAATAAATCCATTTAACACCTAATATATAATATAAATATATATATATAAAAAATATAATATCATATTTTTTAAATATGATTTTTTTAGATAAAACTATATAAATATAGGAAAATAATTTTATTTTCTGTATATATAATATATAATATAAAATTATTTTCCTATATTTATATAGTTTTATCTAAAAAAATCATATTTAAAAAAATATGATATTATATTTTTTATATATATATTTATATTATATGTTATATATATATATATATATATCATATATGATATAAATTATATATGATATATTATTTTAATTTAACAATATACTGTATAAATAATAATAATAAAATACATTGTAGATAATTATCTAAAGTGTGTGAGTGTGTGTGTGTGTGTGTGTGTGTGTGTGTGTGTGTGTGTGTGTGTGTTTATAAAATTTTATTTAAAAATTTATATATATGTATTATAATTTTATGTTTATGTAATGGCATATATATATATATATATATATATATATATTGTAAAATATTCATAAATGTAAAACAGAGATTTAAAAAAAAATAATTTATTTTTATTATTATTATTAATTTATTTCATCACATTATTTTAAAAATATTTATTAATATAAATTTTTTTAAAAAAAACTAAATTATGTTTTTATGACAATCATATCATTTACACAATTTTTTTTGGGAAATTGTTTTTATTATTATTATTATAGTACTATCACTACTATCACGTTTATTATTGTAATATAGTTACTTAAGTTAGCATGATAATTTATTTTTTTTTTGGTAGTATACTGTACAATGGTTTATCATTAACAATATTTTTTTATTTTTTTTATTTATTTTTTTTTCATACAATCACGTACTGTCAATTGGTTTTTATAGTTATAAACTACTAGTAATATATTAAATAACATTTTTGAATATATAAAATAAAAATTTTTATTAATAGTTATAAATATATATATATATATATATATATATATATATATATATATATATATATATATATATATATATATATRTWTTTTTTTTACAAAAAAAAAATGTGTGAACTATGGCATATGTTTTTTTATGTATATATATATATATATATATATATATAGAGAGAGAGAGAGAGAGAGAGAGAGAGAGAGATTATGATAATGATATTTAGGATATCATATAAAATTTTTTTTTATATATTATACAATATATTATTATTACTTAGAAATTATTAAATCTTTTTTTTTATTTTAGTACATAATATATAAGTACATTAATCTTCTAAATGTTAATATTTTTATTTTTATTTTTTATTGATATAGTCATCTATAAAAAAAAATAACAGTATTAATAAATAAATATAATTTTTGTTTTCATAAACAAGTATTATAGTTATTATTTTAATAGAAATTTATATTTTTTTAAATAAATATGTTTTATTTTTTATTTTCAATAATTTATAAAATAATAACTACAATACAATGTTATAACTTATTTCTAAAACAAATTTCTAATATTTTAAAAAATAAGTATAACAAATAAATTATGTCGGATTTTAAAAAAAATTTATTAAAATAAAAAAACTGTTATAATTTACAAGTAAAAACGGTTATTTCTATGAATATTTTTTAATATAGAAAATGTCTACATTATATATATATATATAAATCATATTTAAATTTTATTTATTAGTCAAAAAAAAACTAATGTTATTTCTATTATTAACAATTAGATAATCAAAACAATTGTATTTAATAGTTATTAAAATAATTTAGTTGTAATACAAGTTTAATAAACATCTATAATTAATTAATTAATAAATATTAGATATCTTTGTATCTATTGATAAATTTTAAAAACTTAATTAATTAGAAATTAATTAAAAAAAAACAATTAATTATTAATGTTTATTAATGTGTTACAAAATTACAACAAAAATTATTATTTTTAAAAAAAAAATTCAATGAATACAAATACAAAATAATTTAATTAATAATAACAATAAAATAAACAAAACATAAAACAAAAAATTTGTAATAAATAATTTGTAAAACTAATAATAAAACAGAAAAAAAAATTTTAAGAAAAAAAACTTTTTGTTTGTTTGCTATATATTATAGATATATATATATATATATATTAAACATAAAATTAATGTCTAATTTATATATACGAGAATAATGCCGACAATAGCATAACAATTGGCCACACAATGGCCAACAACCGACCAATCAATGGTAGTGTTGTTGTAGTAGTGACCAGAGTTATGGCTGCGGCGGCGGCACCCGATTTGGTGGACCCGATAGTAGTATCTATAACTGGAGGGGCATCGGTATTAGCCGATTGGTCACCGCCACCGTAACCACTAGTTGTAGTATTGATAACATCATCAGATGTAAAGGTAAATAAATTTGGTGTTATTAGATCCCTAAACCGAGGTTTGGTCACTGATGATGATGACAACGGCTGTCCCTTAGCGTCATTGTCGGGCATATGTGCGGCCAGTTTTACGTCACTATCTGATTCGTTATCAGCTGCTCCATTAGCATCATCACCGTTGTTATCAATGTTATTTGCGGCCAGTTTTAATAGACTATCCAACTCATCATCAGCTGCTGTTGATGTTTGGAGGCCATCACTGCCGCCGTCGACACCGCTGCCGGTAGTCTTCTGCTGAATATTATAAGCAATCAATCAATTATTAGTTGAATATTTTACGACAACAACAACAATACAAACCTCGGCTTTCGGATGGACAACCAGTTCGGGTCGTTTGGACTTTCGATAGGATTTGCTTTTGTCGGTGATATCCATATCTAACTCTATGTCACCTAATTTTGTCCGTTCGGATGCCATTTCAACCGGTATTCCAGTGATTACACGATTGCCACCCGTTTTGTCCAAATTTTCCGAACCCTTTCTCTATTAGTGGGGGTTTGAAACCAAACAAACAAATTATTTATCATTACTATTCACTGATATGACTAATCATTTTTGGTTGTGAAACATACGGAGCCAACGATGTCGACTCTGGGCGCCTGTTGGCCGTCTTTGAGCTGTTCCTCTTCGACTTCGACATCGAACTCAATCTGTCCGATCTGTTGGGGCGGCTGTCCCGACACCAGACCTATGGGTGCCGCAGATATTACACGACCACCACTGTTGGTATCATCATCGGCAGCGGCGGCGTCGTTGTCGGCAACAATACCACCCAAAGGTCTGCCGCCTGTTGTTTGTCGTCGTAGTCGATGTTGTTTTTGGCCATCAATTGCACGACTGGTAATCATCAACAACAGCAACACCACTGCCACTGCCGACACTGTCATCAATATGGGTCTGACTGTCATTTAGAAACACCAATTGATTGATTGATTTGTTTGTTTTAAAGACAACTGATTCTAATCTAAGAGATACTAATCAATCGGTAATCAATAGGAAAGTTATGTCAATCAACAAAAAGTATAACAAAACTATCGGTAGTTTTCAGTTTAACTTTTTTTAACAGATAAATGTCTTCAGGCTATGAGTTTCTAGTTTACTAAATGATAATAAATGATAATATCTTTTATATCACCCGAAAAAAAAATCGGTCAGTTTTTTAATATTTAGTTAACGTATTTTTTTGTGTCAAAAAAAAATTCAAATCAATTATATAAATAAAAAAAAGTAAAACTAATTTTTTGTTTCTATTTTTTATTATCCCGCGTGAGATCTCTAAACATTAAAAACTATTATTAATTAAATTTAATATAATTATAGAAAAAAAAATTTTTTAATCAATTATTCAATTCAATTACATTACACGAGAGTTTTTTTTATAGTAAATTATGGTAAATGTTTTTTTATTGTATAATTAATTAATTATTATTATTTTAAAAAAAAACATGAAATACTGATTTACAAAATTATTTATGATAGTAAATGTATGGGTAATGTTGACAAATATTAATAAATTTTGCTATTTTTTATATTTATATACTGTATAAATATTAAAAATAGTTGTAATATATAACTATATTTATAAATTCAAAATTATTTGTAATTTTGTAATTACCGTAAATAATAGTATTAATAAATATTATTTGATAATCAATTATTTTTCAACAATTTTCTGATCATCACTACTACTACTACTACTACTACTACTACTACAACCACCAGTACTATTAGGTCTCAGTAGTCAACTGTTTGGTCGTCGCCGCCACCACATCATCGCTAACCGCATCATCATTGCTATCGTCATCATCGGTGTCAATGTCGTCGACTCCCAGCCAAAGATCGGTCTTCTTCTTCTTCTTATTCTTCTTTTTATTCTTCGCTTTCGACTTTATATTGTGGCTATCATTGGCTTTCCGTTTCAATTGTTCACCACTACTACCGGCGGTAGCGGCGGCGCCGTCAATATCACCGCCAGTACTACTACTACTACTACAAGCAGCCGCAGCACTGGTAGCCGTACTACTACTACTACTACTGGCGCTCTGTTCCTGTTGTTGTCGTTGTTGACGTACTTTCAAACCATACTCCAAGGCATCGGACACAGCGTTCGGTATTTCTTCGCGTATTCGTTCAAACTCTGTGTCGTTGTACTCAGTTTTCGGCGTTTCGGCCATCCGTTCCAATCGTTGCCGTCGCCGGTCATCCGATTCCTGTTTGCGTTGCGCTTCACGTTTGATCCACTCCTTGATTCGCTTTTCTTCGTTAACATCGCGTAATCGGCGGCCACTCAGATCGCGACACGCTTCCCGGTTGGTTGTCTTTTCGATTTGGGCACCGATAGCCCTGAGCATCGATCCGAAACCACCTTTGCCTCCCCTGAGGCCAACATGAAGTGTCAGTGTTGTTGTTGTTGTTGGTGTTGGTGTTGATGCCAGAGAATCGTTGGCCACTACTACTAACTGGTTCCATGTGGTCAGCCGTCGGCCATTGGTATACAATTGGAAATCATTCGGCGAAATGGCCTACAAATATCATATCAAATAACAAGATAATGAAATTGATCCACAAATATGAATGGTATTGATTACCTCAATCTCGGAAATTTGGTCGTAGAGTCCATCGATACCGTCGGCGGCGGCCGCTGTCTGGTCAATGTCCACACATACTGTACGGCGACTAATGGGTGAATAATAGATAATTTGTGGCAACATATCAATTATGGGATCAATTAACTGATTGATTGATTGAATGTCACAAAACAAAAACAAAAATACAAAATGAAAACAAAATATTATTTTTATTTATTTTATTTTATTTTTGATAGAAATTTCCAGAAACTCATTCAAACTATTTTATAAGCGATCGTAGATTTAGTACTTTATATAACTATGATGTTATTAACGTTTATATACTAGAGTTTATCTGATTGAAAAAGTATCAAAAATAATTATTAATTTGTGTAATTATAATAATTAGTAATAACACTACAGAGTGACTGCATGTCCCGGTATTTTACATTACATTTTTTAATTGTTTGAATTAATTAAATATAAATAAAAATATATAAATAATAAAATTTATAATTAATTACTAGTTTATAAAATAATTAAACAACAACAACAAAAAATTAATAGGAAAAAATTAATTTAAAAAAATAATAATATTTGGTTTACATATTAATACAGTAGTTTGGTTTAGTACAGTATAAACTGTAATAATGTGGTCATCCTATTAGACATATATAAACATGTATTGTTGGATCTCATTAGTCGATTGTTTACTAAAAAAATATTATTATTATTATTATTTGAAAAACGTATTCAAAAATTACATCAGAAATTGTTTATTGAATTTTTACATTCAATTCATTCATTCAATTCATACATTCATTCAAAACACACAATCAATCAATCAATCAATCAGTTTCTCTGTGTTTCAATCAGATCACAGACAGACAGTCAGTCAGTCACTGAGGAGGAAGAAGTGAATTATTTATCAATCAAATCAAAGAAATCAAATCAATTGATTGATTGAATCAATTCAGTGATAACAACAACAACCGCAACAATAACAATGTTGTCGATATTGCGGACACCCGCGGGTGTCTTGTGTAGTGGTGGTGGTGGTCAACGATCACCGTCGGCGGCGGTGTCGGCCATACATGTTGTCAAACAGTTTGTGGTAAAGACGACGACATCACAGTCTCAACAACAGATGTTATGTAAGTATTGTTTTTTGTTTGTTGTTGTTGTTTGTAATCATTCAATAGATCCGACGTCTAATGTCTTGTGATTTTTGTTTGTTGTCTTTGTTTAGCCATCCGATTGATCGGCAATACGGCCAAAGGTCGTGTCAATGCGCAGACATTGCGCCGAATGGACACAACTGCTAAACGCCAGACACTAAAGGAACGGCTGATGGCGCCGACCACTGGCCTGCCGTTCAATTTGGGTCAGGGAATGATTGGCGGCGGTGCACTGTTAGGTATCGGCGCCCTATGCTATTACGGACTCGGTCTCAGCAATGCTCCCGGCATTTACGAGCGATCAATGTAATGGATTAGTGGCCAGACTGGTCACAAACCCGAAACCGTTTTGAATAGTTTTTTGATCACTAATCGATTGTTATTTTTTTTTCTCACGGATGGACAGGGCTTGGGAACAGCACGTCAGGGAACGGATACACACGACATACGCCTACTTCGGGTCGGGACTCGGTCTGACAGCCGCTGCTGCGGCCGCAGCATTGCGAAGTCCGGCCGTAATGCGAATGATGACCCGAAACTCGCTAATGGTTTAACTATCTATCTATTGATTGATTGACTGATTGATTGAAAAAAGTAGTTTTAATTAATCTGTAATTATTATCTCTATATTGTAGTCACTGTTGTTAACAATGGGCGCAATGATCGGTACGGGAGTTGTGGCCCAATCGATACCCTATCGCGAAGGTTTCGGCGCCAAACAGCTGGCCTGGGCCGCACATTGCGGTGTTGTCGGTGCCGTCATTGCACCGTTGTGTTTGATGGGCGGACCACTGATTATGAAGGCTGCCGTACTGACGGCTGGTATTGTTGGCGGCCTATCGGCAGTTGCCGTTTGCGCGCCGAGTGACCGATTTCTCAATATGGGCGGACCGCTGGCCATTGGTCTGGGCGTAGTGTTTGCCTCATCGCTCGGTATATATATATATATATACACCAATATATTGACAATCAATTTACCGATTTTTCTTTTCAATCTATAGGATCGATGTTTTTGCCGCCGACTACCGCATTGGGCGCCTCCTTGTTTTCGCTCAGTGTCTACGGCGGACTACTATTGTTCAGCGCTTTCCTATTATACGATACCCAACGTATCGTACGTAAGGCCGAAACACATCCCGTCTACACTGACCGGCCCTTCGACCCGATCAATGCGTAATAATTTATTGATAATATTATTTAAACGATGATATATTTATGGATATATTTTTTGTTTGTCTGTATAGTTCAATATCAATATATTTGGATGTAATCAATATATTTATCCGATTGGTAACCATTCTCGGGATGGGCGGCGCCGGTAAACGTCGATAAATATTTGAAGACATTTTTTGTTGTTGAAGATAAATGTCTAAAACAAAACTATATTTGTTTAAAACATTATTAGTATTTCTCTTTTCAAATATATATATATATAAATATATGTAAATTATATTCCCGTATATTATAATTACCGGTACTGTAGTTTTGTAGTATTATTAATATTAATATCTTTAAATTGTCTTTAAAACTATTATTATTTGTTTGTTTGTTTGAAATAACTTTTTATTTTCTAAAAACGTTTTTATTTCTCTCAAATATCTTTAATAATCTTAATAACTAGAAAAACATAAAGATTATGATAAGCGTCGATACAAACGGTAATTGTTTGGACACAACATAACAATAGACAGACAAATAGATCGATAGATAGATAAACAATTAAAATGTAGAAAACTTGTTGTTATTTTTTAAATGAAATGAAATTAATTGAATTAAAAAAAAGTCTATTTAACAAAAAAAAACAATGTTTTTTTATAATTTAGTAATAAATACAGTATTGATAATAATAATTTTAAAAAAAAATATTATTATATATATAATAAAATAAATATATATAATAATAAATAATAAATAATATATTTGTATTTTTTGAAGACACGAAAAATAAAACTCAAATAAAATAATAAATTAAATAGAAAACAGAATTTAATAATTTGAATAATAATTTGATTGAATTAATTAATTTTCTTTCTTTTTTTTTGGTGTTTTGTTTTAATAATAATAATAATAAAATATTTGTATTTTGAAGAAAACAGATGAAAATGAAGAGAAGATAACAACAACTAATTAATCAAAAAAAGAGAAAAAAACAAATATTCTGTTCAATCAGTGGTTCCCTTCTTCTTCTACTACTTCTTGTTTGTCATCTTCTTCTTCTTCTTTGACAATTTAAGCGCCTGTTTTGGAACCGCTGCCGGTCTTCGAGCCGGTCTTCTCTGCCGAATCAGTCTTCGAGCCGGTCTTCTCGGCCGAATCAGTCTTCGAGCCGGCCTTTGACGGCGGCTTTGACCCGTCGGTCGTCGACGCTGTCTTTGACGACGGTTTGTCGCCAGTCTTTGAACCACTAGCTGTAGCTCCAGTAGAGCTGCCGGTCTTGGATCCGGTCTTCGAGCCAGTCTTTGAACCGCTGGCGGCTGTGGCGGAGGCAGCGGCTGTTTGCGAACCCGATGGACCCAACTGTGAGCCGGTTTTTGACCCGGTTTTCGATCCGGTTTGCGATCCGGTCTTTGAGCCGCTGGCCGCGTCTGCACCGCTATTAGAGGCACCGCCGGCGCCCTTGATATTGGATCCGGTTCGCGACGATATCAGTGTCGAACCGGTCGACGAACCCAACGCTGAGCCGGCCTTCGAGCCGGCCTTCGATGTGGACGATCCGCCTGAAGAGCTTAAGGACGAACCGACAGCACTGCTGCCGCCGCTGGACGACAGCGACGATCCGGTACCTGATATCGACGATCCCATAGCCGACGATCCCATACCCGAACTCGAACCGACTTTGCTGCCCGTCTTCGAGCCGGTACCCGAACCGCTGCCGCCGCCGCCGCCAGTACTCGAGCCTGTCTTCGAGCCAGTCTTCGAGCCGACCGCCGAACCGCTCGGTGCGCCCAATACTTTGCTGTCGCCTTCGTCGCCTACTTTGCTGCCGGCAGACGACGCCGACTCCTGTGTCTGCGACGGCGGTTTCTCTTCAGCGGCCGGCTGTTCCTCTGGTGGCGGCTGTTCTTCTTCTGGCTTTGATCCGCAACAACCCATTTGTTTGTCTGGTGTTTGAGTAGTTAGTAGTAGTGATTAGTGTGGAGTGGTTTTTGATGGTTGAAGTGTCTGTAATGTCTCTCTCTCTCTCTCTTTCTCTTCACAAGAGTGGCCGTTCAACTAGTGGTTGAAATTGATTGAGAAGTAGTAGCTGTTGTTGTCGTAGTTGTTGTTGTTGTGTATTATAACTGTAAATAACTGATTGTCTTCTTTGTCAGTGTCAGTGTCTTCTTCTTCTTCTTCTTCTAGTTTTAGGTTAAAAACAAACACAAAATTTTTTTTTAACTGAATTTTATGTTTGAAATTATTCCGTTTGATTGGAATTTTTGAAAAATTAATTAATTATTGAATTAATTATTGGATTAATTTTTTTTTGAATTTAAAATAATTATAACAATTAATTTATAATTTAATTATTAATATTATATCTACTTATAGAGTACGTGTATTTCACGTGCGCGCTCTACTATCTATCATATTATTCACGCGCGTGATTAGTATATCATTAAAAAAAATCAAAAAAAAAATAATAATAAGTTTTTTTTTAATTATAAGATATTGTATTAATAATACTGTATTTGTAATTCAAAATTATTATACAGTTGTTGTATAATATTGTATAACAAACAAACAAAAAGTTTTTTTTAATTACTGTTTCAATACATACTATTGTAGTGATAGTTGTAGTGATGAACCAATTGATGTCAACGATACCAACACTTGTTGTTGTTGTTGTGGCCATTGGCCTCTCGGGCAGCGGCGGCGGCGGCGGCGGTACTAATGCCATAAAATTTTGTGACCGACATAATCGCGAACTACTGTTGGGCGGTATTTTTGGCCACAAATCTCAACTGTGGGCCTACAGTTGGATGAACTACGATATGGATCAACAGCAGATTGTCTGGCGTTTCGAGAGCAGCACCGATGGTAACAACAGATTCAGAGAGTTGGGAACCGGTGGCGTCGAAATTGATCGGGTATTTTCAGGTATGTTTGTTTCAATGGGGCAGGGGGGGGGTGAGAGGACGGATGGGTGGTTTAGATATAGGCTATATAACAATAAAAGTAATACCATTCAAACATACAAACAAACCAACAACAAAAAACAGGTATACCATTGTTTAGGACGGGTTTCTGTTTGGATTTAGTCTGTTCGGACACCGATAGCAAGTGTCTGGCGGCCAACGGTTTGGCGTTTGTCTTCTTTCAGACCAGTTATCGGGTTTACAGGGTTGACGCAGACACCAACAGGTTTAGCCCATTGTCGCCAACCGATTGGATTCCTTGGTCATTGCAACCTATTGCCGACAGTTCGGCCTTTTGGTTCGGCATCAAAGACATCGATATTATTAGTGCTATAGTATTTGTGGCCAACAAAGATAACGGTGTCGGTGTCGGTCAACAACAACAACAGCAGCAATCCTATCTGTTTATGACATCAAAGGGTATACTATATAAATCAGTGGTCCGAGTATCGGAACCTGGCCTCAAGTGGTCAGTGGTCAGCCAAATTAGTCGACTGGAATCGGCACTCGGCGGTTTCTTATTGGACAATCGTCTACTATATTTCAATATCATCGATGATTATTCACCCGACGGTATACTCCTAGCCTACAGTTTTGATGGCATTCAACAACAAATGGTTTTTATAAACTATTGACTATTAAAACAAAACAAAAATTTTATTAAATATTTTATTTTAATATTTGTTTTTAATATATTATTTTTTTTTTAAACTAAACAAAATTGTTTGGTTACGGACACCACATCTACCATCCACTACCATCCACTACCATCCACTACCATCCACTACCATCCACTACCATCCACTACCATCCACTACCATCCACTACCATCCACTACCATCCACTACCATCCACTACCATCCACTACCATCCACTACCATCCACTACCATCCCATCCACTACCATCCACTACCATCCACTACCATCCACTACCATCCACTACCATCCACTACCATCCACTACCATCACTACCATCACTACCATCACTACCATCACTACCATCACTACCATATAGACATCGGTGATCAAGTTTTTCGGTTGCAAACAGATCCGCAGTTATAAGGCAATGATGGCCTCTTTAGGCGACAATTCAATGAACAATCAGCAGCTAAATGTAGTCCCGGAGACCGATATGATTGAATCAAACAATAGGTTGGCAATGATTTTCATATCAATTATTGTTGTCATAGCCGTAGTGACCAACATTTTGGTCATCGGTTTCTGGATTAGAGTACTCAGACAACAACAACAACAACAAACAGATCAACAAAAATAAAGTTTATTTTTTTTAAATAAATTAATTATTATATATATATATTCAATAGTTTGTAAAAAAAACAAATTTATAGTCGATTTTTATTTATTTAAAAAAAAATTAACGAAAATTTCATTTCTATATATATATATATATATATATATATATATATATATATATTTATAGTTAATAAATAATTTATTAATTAATTAAATAATTACAAATAGTAAATGTTTAAAATTGAATATTGAAAAGTTGTTGAAAATTAGTTTATTATTTAATTAAATTATTACAATTATTGTATTATTATTAATTTAGTTAGCCTATTATATAACTATTTTTATTATTTATATTTAAAAAAAATAGCAAAATTATTATCTATCTATTTTGTTGTTGTTGTTGTTAACATTAATAAATACATTTATCATCATAAATATTAATTGAAAAAAAATTTTGTAAATTAATATTTCATATTATTTTAATAAATACCGTAATTATATAATTTAAAAAAAAACATTTACCATAATTTACTAAAAAAAAACTCGTGATGTAAATTGAATTGAATAATTGATTAAAAAATAAATTTTTAATAATTAAATTTAATTAATAATAGTTTTAAATTGTTAGATCTCACGCGGGATATTAAAAAAAAATAGAAACAAAAAATTTGTTTTACTTTTTTTAATGTATAATTGATTTGATTTTTTTTGATTTGAAAATACGTTAACTAAATATAAAAAACTGACCGATTTTTTTTCGGGTGATGTAAAATATATTATCATTTATTATCATTTAGTAAACTAGAAACTCATAGCCTTTTAAGACATTTATCTGTTAAAAAAAAGTTAAACTGAAAACTACCTATACTTTTGTTGATTGACATAACTTTCCTATTGATTATCGATTGATTAGTATCTCTTAGAGTAGAATCAGTTGTCTATAAAGAAAAAATCAATCAATCAATTGGTGTTTCTATTAATGACAGTCAGACCCATATTGATGACAGTGTCGGCAGTGGCGGTGGTGTTGCTGTTGTTGTTGTTGATAACCAGTCGTACAATTGATGGCCAAAAACACCAACGACTACGACGACAAACAACAGGCGGCAAACCATTGGGTGGTATTGTTGACGACAACGCGGCCGCCGCCAATGATGATACCAATAGTGGTGGTCGTGTAATATCTGCGGCACCTATTGGTCTGGTGTCGGGACAGCCGCCCCAACAGATCGGACAGATTGAGTTCGATGTCGAAGTCGAAGAGGAACCGCTCAAAGACGGCCAACAGGCGCCCAGAGTCGACATCGTTGGCTCCGTATGTTTCACAACCAAAAAATGATTAGTCATATCAGTGATAGTAATGATTAAATAATTTGCTTAAATTGTTTGGTTTCTAATTCCCTAATAGAGAAAGGGTTCGGAAAATTTGGACAAAACGGGTGGCAATCGTGTAATCACTGGAATACCGGTTGAAATGGCATCCGAACGGACAAAATTAGATGACATCGAGTTAGATATGGATATCACCGACAAAAGCAAATCCTATCGAAAGTCCAAACGACCCGAACTGGTTGTCCATCCGAAAGCCGAGGTTTGTATTGTTGTCGTATAATATTTAACTAATAATAATAATAAGTCATTAATTGATTGATTGCTTAAAACATTCAGCAGAAGACTACCGACAGTGGCGTTGGCGGTGGCGGTGATGGCGTCCAAACAACAACAGCAGCTGATGATGAGTTGGATAGTCTATTAAAACTGGCCGCAAATAACATTGATAGCAATGGTGATGATGCTAATGGACAGTCGTCATCGTCATCAGTGGCCAAACCTAGTATTAGTGATGAAATATTTCCTCCCGATGTAATTTTCTTACCCGACTATGATAACAATGGCACTATTGTTTATCCAGTTATTGATACTTCTACTACCGGGTCCACCAAATCGGGTGCCGCCGCCACCGCAGCCATAACTCTGGTCACTACAACACCATTGATTGGTCGGTTGTTGGCCATTGTGTGGCCAATTGTTATGCTGTTGTAGGCATTGTTTTCATATATAGATTAGAAATTAATTTTTTTGTTTAGAATATGTTTGATATATATAACAAACAAACAAAAAATATATTTTTTATATACATGTTATTAGTTTTACAAATTATTTATTAAAGTGTTTTTTGTTTGTTTCAGTTATATTATTATTTAAATTATTTTCTTATTGTATTGATATATATATTTTGATTATTATATTATTATTAACTTGAATTATTTTACTAAATTATTTTAATAATATTATTATTAATAATAGAAATAAGATTATTTTTTTTTGACAAATAAATAAAATTTAAATATGATTTTTTATAAATATATAATTTAAACATTTATACATTATATATATATATATGATATTAGTATTTATAAAAAAATGTTTTAATAATAAAAAAATAATATTATATATAAATAAAATTATATATATATTTGTCATAATATGGAATTAAAAACTCTATTAATAAATTAATAAAATATAATAAATAAATGACAATACAGTATAAATAATATTATATTAAATACTATATTACATATATAAATATTTTTGACATAATTTACAAATTAATTATTATTTTTTTCTTTTTTAACAATTTAATTGGCAATAATATAATACAATTGAATTATTAATCAAATAATTAAAAAAAAACACCAATTGATTCAATCAATCAGTCGATATTATTGTACATTATATTGTAAATTAGATTTATATAAAAAATTATTTTTTTTAAGACTATTAACTAAATATAACTGAAATATACGGTATATATATTTATTATATTTATTTTATGGACACAATTACCGGTGCCGTCTAATCCAACCAGCTCTGGCCAAACGGATAAATATATTGAATGCATCCAAATATATTGATAGTGAACTATACAGACAAACAAAACAAACAAACAAACAATATATCCATTAAATTATCGGTAAATATGACCACAAAAAATACAAAATATTTAAAAAGAAAAACTTTAAAAAAAAAATAATCAAAAAATTTATTTACGCATTGATCGGATCGTATGGCCGTCGGTCAGTGTTGGAGATATCGTTGGGCCGATGTGTTTGGGCCGTACGTACGATACGTTGGGTATCGTTCAATAGGAAAGCGCTGAACACTAGTAGTCCGCCGTAAACACTGAGCGAAAACAAGGAGGCGCCCAATGCGGTAGTCGGCGGCAAATACATCGATCCTATAGATTGAAAAAATCGGTTAAAAAATTAATTGCCAATATATTTGTATATCAGGGTTGCGAAAGGAGGAGGGGTAGGCCATCTTACCCCCTTGTGGTCGAGATTTTTAGGTTTTACCCCCCCCCCCCCTGGCCTAAAGTCAAGAATTTAGTGGGAATTTAGTGGGAATTTATTGGGAATTTAGTGGGAATTTATTGGGAATTTATTGGGAATTTATTTGGTATTTATTGGGAATTTAGTGGGAATTTATTGGGAATTTAGTGGGAATTTAGTGGGAATTTAGTGGGAATTTAGTGGGAATTTAGTGGGAATTTATTGGGAATTTAGTGGGAATTTATTGGGAATTTATTGGGAATTTATTGGGAATTTATTGGGAATTTACTCAAATTTGGGAAAAATTGTCGTTTAAAAATGCAATAAAAATTGTTCACCCCCTCCCTATAACCCCCCCCTCTGAGATTGAAAACCTWTCGCAACCCTGTTATATATATATATATATATACCGATCGATGAGACAAACACTACGCCCAGACCTGTGGCCAGCGGTCCTTTCATATCGAGAAAACGGTCGTTCGGCGAACAAACGGCAACTGCCGATAGGCCGCCAACAATACCGGTCGTCAGTACGGCTACCTTCGCGATCAGTGGTCCGCCCAACAGACAAAACGATGCAATGACGACACCGACAATACTGCAATAGACACTCTCCAGGCCAGCTGTTTGGCACCGAAACCATCAACCGGATAGGGTATCGATTGGACAACAACACCCGTACCGATCATTGCCATCATATTTAACAACATTGACTATAAAAATATTAGAGATAATTAAAACTACTTTTTTTAATTAAAAAAAATTGGATGAGTAAGTAGTATATGGAAAAAACTAGACAAGTGTGTATAAAGTTTACATATTTCAACAATGAAACATTTTAGTTGTAAAAATATTAATAATGTATTCTTATTAGTCTATTAGATCAACTTTATTAGATTAATTTTTATAAGATAAAATGATTCGGAAAAGTTAGGTTAGGTTAGGTTAGACAAGATTAGATAAGATTGGCTAACATTAGATAAGGTTGAGTAAGATAAAATATTAGATAAGATTAGATAAGATTAGATAAGATTAGATAAGATTAGATAAGATTAGATAAGATTAGATAAGATTAGATAAGATTAGATAAGATTAGATAAGATTAGATAAGATTAGATAAGATTAGATAAGATTAGATAAGATTAGATAAGATTAGATAAGATTAGATAAGATTAGATAAGATTAGATAAGATTAGATAAGATTAGATAAGATTAGATAAGACAAGATTAAACAATTTAATTTGTGTATATAAACGTAATTTATATACAGCAACGTAATTTGTGTATACCAACGTAAGTTGTGTAAATAAACGTAATTTATGCACATCAATGTAATTTGTTTATTCCAACATAATTTATGTATAACAACGTAATTTATGTACATTAACATAATTTGTATATACCAACATAATTTATTTACATCAACGTAATTTATTTACATCAACGAAATTTATGTTCATAAACGTAATTTATGTATTCCAACGTAATTTGTGTATGAACGTAATTTATAAACATTAAAATAATTTATGTACAACAACGTAATTTATGTACAACGTAATTTATTTACATCAATGTAATTTGTGTACATCAATGTAATTTGAATAACGACAACGTAATTTATGTTCATCAACGTAATTTGTATATTCCAACATAATTTATTTACATCAACGTAATTTATTTACATCAACGTAATTTATGTACATCAACATAATTTGTATATACCAACATAATTTATTTACATTAACGTAATTTATTTACATCAACGAAATTTATGTTCATAAACGTAATTTATGTATTCCAACGTAATTTGTGTATTTTAACGTAATTTATAAACATTAAAATAATTTATGTACAACAACGTAATTTGTGTACATCAATGTAATTTGAATAACGTCAACGTAATTTATGTTCATCAATGTAATTTGTATATTCCAACATAATTTATTTACATCTACGTAATTTATTTACATCAACGTAATTTATTTACTTCAACGTAATTTATGTACAACGTAATTTGTGTATAGCAACATAATTTGTGTACGTCAACGTAATTTGTGTAGTGTCAACGTAGTTTATGTACATCAACGTAATTTATGTACAACAAAGTAATTTATGTATTACAACGTAATTTATTTATTCCAACATAATTTATGTACATCAACGTAATTTGTGTACATCAATGTAATTTGAATAACGTCAACGTAATTAGTGTATTACAACGTAATTTATGTTCATCAACGTAATTTATGTATTCCAACGTAATTTATTTTCAACGTAATTTATGTACAACGTAATTTGTGTATAGCAATATAATTTGTGTACGTCAACGTAATTTGTGTAGCGTCAACGTAATCTATATACATCAATTATTTGTTTTGTATAACATTTAAATAAATTTTGTAGATAGTCTTTTACTATAAATTAATTAATTATTTTTACATTATTTACTTTATAGCATTTAAGGAATTACTTATTTAATTTTATTATTTATGATACAGTATGTTTTAGTATAAGTTATTTAGATATTGTCTATTTTCCACTCTATACTACTGTACATACTACTTAATATTAAAAATTAATAATAAATCATATATAAATTATTATTAAAAATATTAACTTATAAAACTTAAAAAATTAATGTTAGATAATATAATTATTTAATATAAATAAATTATTTATTTTTACATTAATAATTTTTAAATATTTTATTAACTTTATTAATCTTTATATTTCAATAAAATAAATTCAAAATAATTGTCCATGATGCAACCCTGGAAAATTTAAAAATTTTAGACTATCTCTCACTTATAAATAGTACTAAATTTTCAATTTATTACATAATATAATCCAAACGTTATTACTGTCTCTGAAAATATTTTATTGTTTGAATGTATTGTCAATTATAGTGATTATTGGGTACCAAATCATCGCTTAGTTATAGACAATACATATGTACTATATGTACGATAAACTTGTTGTCCATTTGTTATTAGTTTTTAATTATTAATAATTTGGACAAAACGGGTGGCAATCGTGTAATCACTTGAATACCGGTTGAAATGGCATCCGAACGGACAAAATTAGGTGACATAGAGTTAGATATGGATATCACCGACAAAAGCAAATCCTATCGAAAGTCCAAACGACCCGAACTGGTTGTCCATCCGAAAGCCGAGGTTTGTATTGTTGTCGTATAATATTTAACTAATAATAATAATAAGTCATTAATTGATTGATTGCTTAAAACATTCAGCAGAAGACTACCGACAGTGGCGTTGGCGGTGGCGGTGGCGGTGATGGCGTCCAAACAACAACAGCAGCTGATGATGAGTTGGATAGTCTATTAAAACTGTCCGCAAATAACATTGATAGCAATGGTGATGATGCTAATGGACAGTCGTCATCGTCATCAGTGGCCAAACCTAGTATTAGTGATGAAATATTTCCTCCCGATGTAATTTTCTTACCCGACTATGATAACAATGGCACTATTGTTTATCCAGTTATTGATACTTCTACTACCGGGTCCACCAAATCGGGTGCCGCCGCCACCGCAGCCATAACTCTGGTCACTACAACACCATTGTGTGGCCAATTGTTATGCTGTTGTAGGCATTGTTTTCATATATAGATTAGAAATTTTTTTTTTTGTTTAGAATATGTTTGATATATATAACAAACAAACAAAAAATATATTTTTTATATACATGT